TTTTCCGTGTACGAATTGTCAAGGAAAATGTTTCAGTTTCCGTATATGAAACGGCGAGTTTAAAGGCGTGCATCTATCATCAAACTATATTGAAAGTGCGTGGCGATTATATACCAGCCTGTGTATTTTCTAGGAAAATATGCGGAAGCTTTTGATAATCCTGCATTTTATTCAGTAGAGAGGCGTTGCGCTGGGAAACTGATAGTGTCAATAGTGTCATCCCACGCAAATGAACGGCGGTTCATGGAATAGAGTTAAATCCTCTTTGGCAATATTCGCGACAGGGTTTTAGCCAGCTGCATCCCGAAAGAGGGCGTCCAATTTGAGGGTCTAATGACACATTTACAGTGGGGAGTTTCGACTCGGAAACCGTTCTTCTGGAGCACCTTTGAAGTTTAGGTTTCAGGCTCTTAAACGGTATTAGAGATTTACATTATTTGATGTCAGTATCTGTTCAGCCTACTAAAACTCATTCGAGATTTTTCAAACAGCCCTGCATGACTTTGCGATTTTTGCGCCGCTATGGCAATGCTTAAATTTTCATAAAACCAGATACACCATCCAATTGATCAAAATGTCAAATGTGTAATAAAATTGAAAATTGAAACTATTTCGTTTCAGATATATTAATATATTTACGGAAATCCTTGAGAATAATTTTACTTTTTTCCTAGAATTTTGGGTGTCCAAATGTATTATGCGTCCATTTCTCTCAGCATTATTCAATGGTGATCAGTCATCTATTATGGTAAAATATGTAATTTCTTTCATTTTCATGAAATCATGGCGACTCAACGAAAGAGAGATTGTGTTTAACTTGTTCGCTCTTTCCAAGGTCAAAAACTCCTAAATTGAATTGCCATCTGTTACACTTTATCGCGTGCTGACTCTCACTGAATAGTTGCCAATCTTTCGTAGCAACTGTCAATACAAAAGAAGTGAATCCAAACGGTGAAAATACTCGTATTTAAAATCGAAACATACTTAAAAGATAATTCTATATATGAAGCATTAATAATGCCTTTATCCAAACTTTAAATAATGCCTTCAGGCAGTGGTCACTATAGCTTCTGAAATTGGTTTCACATCTGAACACCATCCAATCAGCGCACGATATATAATGGAGTGCATCTTCGCATGACGTTATCTTCGGACTTGGTGAAACAAATTGAAGTTACAGAATCCAATCAATTCTAATTAATGCCCAAACTGTTCTAATTTTATCATGGTTCAATTATAGGTTATTCTAATTATAGTGTTTTACCCTTAGACAATTAATAATGACTTTATCTGAATACAATCGATGACATACATGAAATCATAAAAATGGCACAGCGTGGGGTTGTATGAGAGTCATGCACATCTGTTGTAAAAAAAACCAAATTAAGTTATTAAGAGGATTTGTTCCAAAGATTTAGGCAATGAGCCTATTTCTGTATTTAAGCGCGGGGGGCGTCTGTGCGTAGGCTAACAGATCTATAGTGTTTTGTTTCCACACCACAAAACAATTAGGCTCAAAAACCTGAGTAAAATTAATAAGTACACCCACAAATATCGAGCAAAATCTATACTCATATTTATGACCACATTTACACATTTTTTGAGTAAAGTAAATCTTCACTCAAATAATTGAGTAAATCCGTTGAAACTTTACTAAAAAAATTGAGTAAATTTGCTCATAAATTTGAGTAATTTTACAGTAAAATTTTGTGTCACTGTGGGTAGATTTTTTTCTAAAATTTTTTAATCAAAATACTCAGGAATTTAGGCAGAAATGATAAGAAAGTTGGGCAATTCCTACCCAAGGGTCGGGCAATTTCAGTTGGGCAGTCGTAAAGGCATAACATGGTCTTTGGTGCAGGCGTGGCTTGTTAGCCTGGCAAAGTGAAGTTTCGGTTCGTCTAGCGCTCCACCCACGATGTACTGAGACCTAAATGCATCCGTGTTTCTTTGCTTTGGAATTCGTTCTTTCAACTTTGATAGTTTTGGTTTTTCGGGTAGATTCTGAGATTCAGGTCATAAATTACAGGAAGCTGTGGTTGTGGTCTTTTTTTTTTCCAGTTGAGGATACTTGCTCTGCGTACTCTCCAGTTTCTTCCTGTAGCAACACAACAACAGGCCCCTAACTAGCTATGAGTCAGAAAATGGAAGTGACATCAAGTTCAACGAAAGAAAACAGATATTGAGGAGAACACGGATGTGAAGGGCTTTGTTTGAACGTCAACATTTCCTGGGTGGACCCCAAGTATCTCAATAACAGAAGTTTGGGTTAGCGTCCAAAATATTACCACAAACACTATTTTATTGTACACCTGAACATGTTGGACAAAGAATATTTGTAATTCGTATATGAATGGTGGAAAACACTGGGAAAAATAGTGAAATTTATACTATGGAATTTGTTGCATAACTAAATCCACAGTATATATATCCATACAAAATCCATAGCTAGGATGAAAATTGCTAACAGTATGAAAATTGGATTTCCCTACTATTTTCAACGAATATCCATACTAATTCCATAGTAAGGATTTAAAAAAAATCCAGTGAAAATTGTGAGATACAATTATAGTTATTGTGTCACTGTTTATGAGATTGCCTATTTTTCGTTAAAGCTGCCCTCAGAATGCAGGGAATAGCGTTTCTAAGCTTAAGGAAATCGAGGGACATGCCCCTAGAGCATGCTCCATGATTGGTCTGGCACCGTACTGTATTATCAGTAAATATATTCGTAGTAGCCTATCATCATGTTTCGCGCGCAAATATATTCCTTTCATCTTCATCACAGATCTTGATCCCAATCAACAACATTAACTGTAATCCTATTGAGTATGTGGATATTTGATAACCAAAGTGATCCTTGCCTGGATCTCTATACGGAGAACAGCTACACAGAACTGATAGAGCTAATCCGATATAAAAAGTAAATTGACTAAATTTCACCACATGGTCAATAAGTAGTTTCGGTGACTCACACTTGGTCACGCGGACGCACTCAACTCAACTTAGTAGCGTAGCGGATTTATTATGGCGGATGTACTCAGTTGAACTTCCTGTAGTGAAAAATATATTTTTGGAACCAATCATACCAATTTGCTTAGAGGGCATCCATGATTATAGTCAACATTTACACAAGCGTATGATCCGCACGCTGGGGTGAGGGAGTGACTGCTGTACCTACGCTTTTTAAAATGTTTCCTATCATAGACCCACCATCATCATCATCATCATCATTCCTGAAGTTGAATACTGGGAGTGGATCGTAACAAAAGTACTCTACTCTCTATTGTGAAAATGTTGAAAAAATATGAACGACCCTTAGCTAATAGGCTTTCGAGCTTTTTTGTTTAAAAAATCAATAATATTGTTAAAGTTTAACGATTATCGTGCAGATTTTTCATTTCAGTAAAAGCTCTTTTAGTAGGTAAATCCGACTCGAGAACCTGTTTTGACAGACACTTAATTGCAAATTTGCAAATTTGCATGATTGATTTAATTGTTTTGGTGGAAACACGATTATATATGAGGATGACTGCACTCCAGCAAAACTCGGTTAAAATCAAATGTTAAGGTGTAGAAGTGCTAATTACCTCAAGAAATACATGTTAAATCATACACAAAACGAAATGCTGTGCTTTTATTCACATAGTTATTTCATAACATTCAAATGGAGATGAACTTTTCCATGCGAAAAAAGGTCTTTCTACATGGAGTACAGCCTGGATCTGGATCTTTATGACGATCCGAGGGAATACGCCAGAATCGAAGCTTCGCGACCATTTTTTCTTATTAAGTGAACCAGGTGTTTTCGACAGGAACAAAACAATCGGGTGGATCCTCTTACCTGACAAAGGATCATGACGTGTAGCCTATAAATAGCAGTGATGCAAGTGCGGCTGTCTCATCTTATGGCCGTCTTCAGCATCGCCACCTGCTGTATGTCATTTTAAGAGGTCTGTTTGCCCCGTCTAAACAATTATCTAACGTGTGGCTTGCCGCGCATGTGACACATACTCATGTGATACATCTCATGGCTCAGTGGACCGTTTAATTGTCAGTCAAGTCACGAAAACAAGCTAATTTTAGTTACTTGACGTATACCGAATTGTCGATATTGACGAGGAAATTGATGCCCAAACTCTATGAAAATCCTCGACAGTTTCACATCATTTTCCTTAGCTAATTTTTCTCTCGTATCGCTAATCGAGATATCAGTTCGTAAAACCACAATTAATATCGAAGTCAAAACATGAAATGATGGCACACGCCTTGCAGGCTTGTGGTAATCCCGCAGACAAAAACAATAGAAGAGTCTGGCAGTCTGGCACTGGACGTCAATTTCCGCCATCTTTGGGCTTTAGCTTCGCTTTTCTCTTAGGCCTAATAATGACTGATGTTCTTCATACTCCAGATATATATATATATATATATATATATATATATATATATATATATATATATATATATATATATATATATATATATATATATATATATCGCTGGGCTAGATCTTGTTCCAGAGTTCTTATTCCAGTTTTTCATGGAGCTCACTGGATGAAGTGTTACTACAGGAGAAAACTGGAAGCATTCTTCTCACATGTGGCCGACAGAAAATATCAGGCAACTGTACATATTGGGTACATCTAAACAGCAATGATGATAGCTGAAGAGAATTACCAACAAAACTAGTTTTAAAGACTAACTTTTGCAAAACGGCACAACAAATTAAATATATTGCACACGTACTGAGATCAGACAATGATAGCCTCCAGAAAAAATATTCATTGAGGACTACGAACTAACCCGATGGAGAAAATTTCTAGCTTCCGAGTTTGATGATAATAATGATGTATGATGATGCCGAGGATGCATGATTATGGTGATGCATGATGATGATGATGCATGATGATGATGATGATGATACATGATGATACATGATGATACATGATGATACATGATGATACATGATGATGATGCATGATGATGCCGATGATGCATGATTATGGTGATGAATGATTATGGTGATGCATGATGATGATGCATGATGATGATGATGATCATCATCATCATCATCATCATGATCATGATCATGATGATCATGATGATCATGATGATGATGATAATGTTATTGCAAATCTACAAACATGTTCAACAAGGTTGTTGCCAAGCCGTCATCAGGATCTGTTCACACTGCTTGTTCCCAGTTGTTGTGACCAATCTGGAACAAGTTGCATTCATCTTCTTACAAGATTGATGATAAGAATAACAAGAATAATGCAGGCTGTTCGTAACAAGTTGCTACGAGCTTGTTCTTATCAACTTGTTAACGAGTCGGACGATATCAGACTTGATGGAACAAACTTGTTGCGAGTCTGTTGGCCTCATAAATCTTGTTACAAGATGATAACAACTTGCCATGCAACATTGGGAACAAGCAGTGCGAACATATCTTGTTGACAAGCTATGAGATTTGTACTCGTGTAGACCTCGTGCACTTATTGACCCATAGCAAACATTTGCTTAAAGTAAAAGAGACCGGAGTTTATTATTCCCTCCACTGGGTAGCGGTTTGTTTCAAGTTGTCTTCTAGACGTCCTGCATGATCTCACACTTTTTAAGGTCAAGTTCTCTATTGCAAGAGTGGATCCACGCTTCAGCCCGTTTCAAATGAGGCCAACATCCGGCGTCCAACAGTTATTGGACAATGGTTTGAACAAAGTCAAATTCAATCCAACATCGACCAACAGTTGCCCAATTAACACAGTGTTCAAACGAGACCAACGATTGTATGATGTTGATCAACATGGTGGAGGCCCTCGTTTCAACGGGGTTTTAGACGAAAGGCATGCACTATTAGGGACTGGTCATAAGGTAATTGCTAGGGTGGGCTGGAGGTAAATCACAAATTTTGCCAATAAGTTCGGTGACCCATCTTAAGATGTAGATAAAAATTTCAAAGCCCATCAAATCTTGCCAAATTTATTTCATGACCCACCCACCCAATCTAAATTGGGAAAATACAATTTTATAACAAAAAAAAAACTTGCAGGTATGAACATTGTAAATATACACCGGCACTGTCAGGCCTTAAAATATATTTTCCAGGGCCGTCTGACAAAATGTCCGGTGACGTCGAGTTTGGGTCGGACATATGTCCGATGACCTTCAGTTCAGTTTTGACTCGGAAATATAAGTCTGAATGACACAAATGAATAAACGGTAAATGTTGTAAAGATATTAAATAATTTGTTTCTTTCATACTGTTAAAACAACATTTCCAGTTCACCTTTTATACAATAGTACTCTGATTCTCCATTTAACATACAAGCCTCTAGTCCTGGACTAGGGTACATTTTGATTTACGTCGGACAAAGCTACAGTTCGGTCGGACACCAATACACTTGGGTCCGCGGACAAACAATAAACCTCAGTTTCACTTAGGTCGGACAGATTGTCCGGTGGTTTCCTCTCTACGTCGGACAATTTCACGAATGGGTCGGACAATGTCCGTGACCGACCGATATTTTAAGGCCTGGGCACTGTATTGACATACATAATTCCACCAAGCTTGACCAACAAGCACATTCATCATTAATTACGATACTGAGCTGCTCTCCAGTTGGTTGTATTTGCTGTATTCGACCACTTCTTGTTGTTGTATAAAACAAAGTACTGGCTTCAATAGCATCATTTGCATTTGGCAGAGCCTGAAATAACGGCCGGCGGTCGGCGGTTTTCCGACCAAATTCCAGTTTTTCCGACCAAATGCTGAAATGATCGGAAATTTCGTCCGGACAAATGTTGAAAAAAATGATAATCTGGGTTTTTTTTAAATTATCGGGTCGGCGCTCAGCACAGTGAGTGCAGTATCTATAGTCTTAGATTATCTATACTAGTCTTATATAGAGTAATCAACTGGGAAGTTATCAAAGTTTCTTCGATCAGAGTATGTTTTAAACAAAGTTTAGTTAACTTAAATGTGTGACAGTGCACGAGTTACGAGTCAGAGTGACTGCTTTCATTGTTGTTAATTTGACGTTTCGAGCAAAGGCCCTTCATCAGGACAGTTAAATAGGTTGTTTATTACAAGTAGAGTGATTTACTGCATGCTTGACAGAATTTACTCAACGGAGGGGATCAAACTAAACTAAAAAATTTCCGACCAAATTTGAAAATTTCCGGTCAAATTTCATTTTGCTTGGAAGTTTTGCCGGACAAATTTAAAAATTATTTCAGGCTCTGTTTGGTAATTTGGAGAGTTTTGTTTACTTTTATTATTAATTGATATCTTTATGTAATATATAATTAACATGGGTTTTTGTTTGGTGGTCCAACCGTGGACATACCAAAAAATTGGCGGCCCATCGGAACTGCCCAGAGATTTTCCATGGCCCATCCCAAATCACTCCAGCCCACCCTAGCAGTTACTTTATGACCGGTCCCTAAAGTAACTATGTCATGACTTCTAATCGGTTAAAGAAATTGAAAAAAATTTAATCTAGAATTGATGCGTCGAAATACGTTTCTTCTAAGGCTTGGTTTCCATATGGCCGTGGTGGTCGCAAAAATAGAGTCAGGATCTTTCTCAACGGCCAGTTTATAATAGTTTATACCTGTAAACCACATATAAATCATAAGTATTCTCTAGTTATAATCACTCCGCGTATTTTCAGTGCTAAAATGTTGTATTTCGGCTGATGAGAGAGATCGTGACTCAATCTTTACGACCATATATGGAATCCAGGCTTAACAGGCCTTCTAAATCTCGCCGTTTGCCGGGTCGAGATGAGAAGAGGGATAATTTTGACGTCTTGAAATAAGTAACGGTTCATTCCCACAAACTGCATTGTTTTTCCAGTGATATAGATTGCAGTATAATTGCAAACGAAGGTTGTTCAAGCAGCAATTACAATCCGTTTTTTAACTACGTGAGCCCGCCAACATTTCAGTTCCTTTAACCGGCGTTTGAACTCAGTTTCGTTTAAGTCTATCGTCAAAATCATTCCATCTCGTCCGGCAAACAAGGATCACTGTAAACAGCTTCAGACATAAGAGTTGTTTTTCCATGAAACGTAAAACAATAGTGAAAGACCTCGACTTTGTATGCAAAAATCCCATTTCAAGTTTGATGGCGTTTTCATTTAATGTTTACATCTCTTTCATATATCGCTAGCTTTTTGTCACCATCTAATACTCTTACAAAGAAGTTTCAGAAATTTTGATCATCAATAGGGCACCTCTTTGTCACGCTTGCAATTTAATTCAAATATGAACGAAAATATTTCATCTGAGGAATGAAACAATTCTTAAAGTGTTGCAATGCTCAAAATAACTTTTGTCTCTAGCAGTTGATTGCAAACAAGATCTTTTACAATACCGATAGATCATAGATGACACGATGAAAGCGACTAGTTCAGCTGTATAGATGATGCGCTTCGTGATTATTCTGCACGTGGCTACTCTTAAAAAGGCGCCACATGGCAGGAAGGTCACTTGAATTAACAAGAGGAGTTATTTTCCACTATGCCCACGCCATTTTCTATGGGAGCAAGTTAAGATGTGCCCAACACAAAGGCTATTGCCCGAAAGACAATCAAAGGATATATATCATGGACACACCTACCTATTATAAACGCCTAGTATTGTATTCTGATAATCTGATTATATCTTATGAGATCTCTTTAACATCTCTGTGTTAACACTTGCAGGCCTACGAGAGATGACGAATAACCCGGATAACCCCTCTTGAATCTTTCGTATAAAGAGAGCAGTTTACTAGATCTAGACTCGTCCAGAAACGTTTTGGAATCTTTCTTATAAAGAGAGCAGTTTACTAGATCTAGACTCGTCCAGAAACGTTTTGGAATCTTTCTTATAAAGAGAGCAGTTTACTAGATCTAGACTCGTCCAGAAACGTTTTGGAATCTTTCTTATAAAGAGAGCAGTTTACTAGATCTAGACTCGTCCAGAAACGTTTTGGAATCTTTCTTATAAAGAGAGCAGTTTACTAGATCTAGACTCGTCCAGAAACGTTTTGGAATCTTTCTTATAAAGAGAGCAGTTTACTAGATCTAGACTCGTCCAGAAACGTTTTGGAATCTTTCTTATAAAGAGAGCAGTTTACTAGATCTAGACTCGTCCAGAAACGTTTTGGAATCTTTCTTATAAAGAGAGCAGTTTACTAGATCTAGACTCGTCCAGAAACGTTTTGGAATCTTTCTTATAAAGAGAGCAGTTTACTAGATCTAGACTCGTCCAGAAACGTTTTGGAATCTTTCTTATAAAGAGAGCAGTTTACTAGATCTAGACTCGTCCAGAAACGTTTTGGAATCTTTCTTATAAAGAGAGCAGTTTACTAGATCTAGACTCGTCCAGAAACGTTTTGGAATCTTTCTTATAAAGAGAGCAGTTTACTAGATCTAGACTCGTCCAGAAACGTTTTGGACGAGTCTTAGGAATGGCAAGAAATTGTATTCTGGGAGATATTTTACAGTAACATGCATATTTCACTTTTTAGAGACCCCCTTTAGTCAACTAGGGCTCATGGCAAATTCCTTTCTTTGTATCTTATTCTCCGAGCGCCCATGTTTACAAACAGATCCTTTCAATATAGAAAGAGTTCCCATGTCTATATTGTTGTGAAACGACTGGGCGTTCAAGATCGAGTCATGGACGAAAATTCTTTTCTCCAGCAGTCCAGGCGATATGACAATCAAAATATCCGAAGATAACCGCCGGAAAATTGAATTGTACAGATGACATCAAAGACGTTATATTTCAAAAAGAATAATAAGGGGCGCATGCAGTTTCTTGTATGTATTATTGGAGTTTTGTTATTCATAACAGATAATTACGGATTTTAATTTAATTTAATCATTTGTCACAACACAACCATTACGCATACATCTACAATAAACAGAGGACACAGGTGTGATTGAGGAAAGGAACAGGACTTGCGACTGTTGCGTCCCAATTGACACCTGATCCCAACATAACTAGACTTTGCTGGGATATACTATATACCGAGTCAAGGATTCGAGCTCGGAATCGACTGCAGGTACACATAGAAATTTATAGTCATTCGTAAGCGAATATAATATTTCAAATTTTTCTCGAACACATGCATTACTAGCCCGAACCCAAAACTTATTTTATGGCGTCCATATTGCGCGATGATCCACTTAACTCCTGAAGTGAAGTATGTATGTGTTCAGTTCGAAACAAAACGGATTTGGGGTCCGGGTACAATCATAACTTTGGAGCGGACAATATGATTTCTAGACTTACGCAAAGTCCAGTTTTTTTTAACGACCTCGCCTTTATTCGCTCGATAGACAATAAAGCTAGGGACAATTCTTAGGCGGACTTGTGGCAAGTCTAGGATTTCCATTTGTCAAAGATCTTTAACTAAGGTTTAACAGGTGCTCCTTTAGAAAAATTATTTCTTTACTATTGAAAATTTTGAAAGCTAACGAGTAACGTCTCAGGAATTGCAATTTCTTACATTCTGTCCCTTCCCCCGTGACATTTTGGAAGACTTTGTTTTTGTCTGTGCGTGTTCATCGGTAGATGCAAATGACGGTATCAACCTCGCGTATTTGCGATTAGTAATATCATCAGTATATGAAGTATGCAGGATTTACCACTGGCTGGGCTAACAGTGGGCTACGTTTCTTGTCAAATACACAAACATACTCAAAAGTCAAAAGTGATTTCGATGGATTTAGAAGATAAATTGCTTGGTTATAAAGCTCAAAATTATGTCTCTAGCTCTGAAAGTGAAGGGGAAGACGATGAAGATAGCGGGCGAGAGAGTGGGGGTGAAGTAAAGAATAAAAACACTGAAGAAACACCGCAATTGGACCTCCGTGTCGATGGACCAATGGTAAAATGATTTATTTATGAAACAAAAGGCGTTTTCGTGGTCTATATTGTTTGTAGATTCAGCGGTTATTTTACTTTCTAATTCTTTAATTAACATGATATAATTGCTACATTGAATGTGGGTATTTGATTACTTAGAAACATCATTTTATAAACTTTCAGATTTTGTAATTTCACAAGAAAGCATACAATTATAGAATGGTTCATTAGGACAAGAATACTGAGGGAGTGTACAAGGCCGGTGAGAGGGGCAAAGTAAACGGGGCCCGAAGTGCTCAGAGGGGCCTGGAAATCTTGGTAAAATGTTCGTATCGTTTATCATAATGCTTTATGTTTGTCCTAAATGAAATATGCCTACTTGCACACTATCCGCTGATCATTGTGATCAATTGTAAAACGTACTAAATGTGAGATAAATTGTTTTCTCTGCTAAAACAGTTAAACATTGTTCACATTGCGTCTTTATCAGTTATGCAGCGATTTCTCGCAAGTAATTTGCTGGCGATTCCCTCGTTGATTGTGATTAAAAAATAGACTTTGGTGTGGCCATCAGTGTGAGTCAAGAAGGCCGTGGGGCCGTGGTTGGCTCTCGCCGGCCTTGGGTGTTTATATGGAGGCGAGCAAGCCCCAGTGCACAAGCTAGCTCATTTTACTGATTTGATTTCATTCCGTGTTTACATGAGACTTTTGAGGCATGCTGACTCACCAAAACAAACCACTAGCATAGAGTAGATACATATACAGAGTTAAAACTGGTTTTTGTGTGTGTGCTCAGCAAGTTTCTAGATGCATGCATCCCCATTGGATGGTGGCTTGCTTTAACTGCTCATGGAACTTGCCGACCATGCGCAGTTGATACTTTTTTGGCCGGTTGCCTGAAAAAAGTGGGTGCATGAAAACGTAAGTTTTCTGCAGTGTTTACGACGGCCAGTCCCACCTCTGTATGCATCTACTCTGTGCCACCAGTTGCTACAACTAGTATAATATAAATATATTTTGTACCTGAAATTCACACTTTTGCAATCGACATTCATGGTTATAACTCACAGGATCGTTCACAGAGACCTTTTAAGATCAAAATCTGTTGTTGCAAATTGTAACATTATCTTAAAAATGACTTCACACAGCTGCAGTATGTAAAGTTACACCTCGCCACACTATTCAAAAGAATCAATGTTGTATTTTGGAGAAAAGTAATTAACATTTTCAAACCTTTATTTTATTTTTCAAATTTATCTTTTTTATTTTATTACTATTTTAGACAGGACCAAAAGGTGTGCTTGAAGATTATCGAAGATATCGACAGCTTGCAGCAGAACAACGTGAGGAAAAGAAGGCGGAGTTAGAAGCTTTGGCAAAAAAATTTTCAATTACTTGTCAGAGTAGTGTAAGTTTGATTATTTTAGCTCACACTCGTTAGAATAAATAGTCGTATATTACAATGATTAACTCATTATGTGGCAGCAATCTCCCCTTGTCTGTCATTAAACAAAGTAAAATAATAAAGTCCATACATTGCTACTTAAAGAGTGCATTGCTAGTTAATTCTTAGCTAATTGAATACAGTGTTAGTGCGTAGGCAGTTACGATATATTGATATTTTCGATAAATATGATATTAATAGTTTTGTTTGTGGAAACACCACGTAAATTTATTACTGCAGTAATAATTTTACGTGGTGTTTCCACAAACAAAACTATTATATTTTATCGCCATGCAAACATACAAAGAACTTAAATATGATATTGCAAAAATATCCATATTTGATTTTTCAATATTTTTTTATTATCGATAATTTTTTTTCGATATCGATATATAACGATTTTTTTCAATATCGCAACTGCCTATATTAGTGACCTCTCTTAAGTAATGCCTCTCATGAACAGTTATCTGATTCATATCATGATCCTCTAGCGTGAATATTGATGCAAATTGAAAAGTTTACAAGTTCACGAGAAAATACTCAAACACTAATAAATTTTCACATAAACAAAGAAAAGTCATTACAATGAGATATAGCTGATGGGAGACCGCCAAGCGAAGACTGTCTCGTTAAGAATTTTTACAAGTTATTTTATAGGCTAGCTATTAAAGGCGAGGCAGAACAACAATTAAGATTAGTGTCAAGATAATTAGGAAGTATTAACACAATTAGGCTGGAATTGATAATAAGCTAAAAATGTTTAAGTGGTGGCTGCCAAGAGGAAATTTAAAGTTAATAGTATTTGTGGCATAAAGATTTATTCTGGGTGAGCCTATTTCCTAAAAGGTTTATGAAAAATAAAGTGAAATATATAAAAGTTTGATAATGTTCCAAATTTTAGCATGTTGCTAAAAAAATTGTTGGGACGAAGCAAAAGTTGCCTCTTGTGACATGGTCTTTACCATGCGAAGGAAAATGCATGGTTCATCTTTGTTCTTTTTCTCCAAAGCTAGATGAAGAAAAAGAAAAGAGTGCTACAAAAGAATTTGAATTTGATGAAGAAGATGAGTTTGTAAAGATGTACCACATGAAACGATTACAAGAAATGAGACGTCGAGCTGAGGAATATGTCTCGTCAATTAGGCAAGCACTGATTTATACTTGACACAGGATGACCTGCCTGGGCGAACGTTGAAGAAGCGAAATGTAGTTTGTCTGAAATTCCATCCATAGTTATCTTTTTAGTCTCAGGCAAACGTGTGTGTATACTAATAGGCAATGTTTTAGTTTATGCCTGCAGGGGATGATGGGAAGTAAGGTATCATAGTGCTGATTATGCTGATAAGTTTCAATAAAAACTACCGAAACAACCAAAATATTTCAATATTTACAAGTATAAGCTATCACTTCGTGTTTACACAGCCACCATTTCTATTTTTTCAGCATAATCAGCAATGCGATACCTTACTTCCCATTGTTCCCTGCATGCATAAACTAAAAGCTGGAATTGCCTATTAACAAAATAGATAAGATTTTTCTGTTGTCTGTTCAGTTATAGATGCACAGTATATGACATCATAATGTGTAGTGTAGTAGTTTTGACTGTGTGCATGATTGCATGAACATGCAATGGTATGGCTAGAGTATTGAATTTGTGGGAGGCGAAACAAACATAAATTTCAAAAACAAGCACCGATGCTGTGTGAGTCCTAGGCAGGGTTTTTTCAGGATTTTCTCTTGGGTCCATTTTTGCAGAGAAGATTGAGTTTAGCTGAACAGCTGGGGTAGCTGCACCCCCCCCCCCCCCCAGTAGCAGAAATAGTGAGTTGCTATCTAAAAAGTTGTGAGATTGACTGAAAAATCGTGAGACTTAGAAATATTCAGGTTTGCTCATTGATATGACCAGGGTTAACTTTAACAACATTAGAAAATAATCAATAGATATTCAGTCTTAGGAAAGTATGCGTTATATTTTGTTAATATAACCGTAAATGCAAGGCTTATTAAGAATAGGTGTTTTTTCTTTATGGCTTCCACTGTACAAAAAAACAAGAAAATTATGAGTAATATTAAGACTAGAGGACAATAAACTTAGCAGGACACGCCTTTCACTTTGTAACACAAACATCACGTATACAAAATTCTGGCGTTGTACATTGTGCATTATTAATACACTAATAAAGTATGATGTTTCCTTGGAAGAGTGTGCCTAATTGTAACTAGATGTTGCGCTTTTCGATGATTTCATAAGTTCCGAAAATCGTGAGATTTGGGGACTTAATCGTGAGATCGTGAGAAAGCATAAAAAATCGTGAGTCTCACGATTAAATCGTGAGACTTGGCAGATCTGTTTCAATCCTGGTATCCCCGTTGGACACTGAGCATTAGCGATCTTCAGTCACTTATAATGTAATGAACTAAATAACTTAATTCAATCATATATTCTAATTTTTGGCTTTGCTTCTACTACAGGCCAACTTTTGGTACGCTACAAGATATCCCAGGCAAGGAGTATCTTGATGCTGTAGATAAAGAGAATGCTAATGTTGTCATTGTGATGCATCTGTATCAGCCTGTAAGTTAGACATATTACAGTCAATTTCACATAACTTTTGCCAAGATATTCCAAACTTTGTTCCCAAATTTGTTGCGAAGTTCAAAAGTTCATAATATTTTTACAAACTGGTTGGTTAGGTAAGCATTTGATTGGTTTCTTTTAATTAGAGGACCAATCAATTTCAGTATTTCAATATGAACTTTCATAACAGTATCAATTGCAGAATTTCAGTATGAACCTCCGAATATTTTGGCAAAAGTTATGTGAAATCGACTGTTATTTTGAGTGTTGATATTGATTATTTCAATCCTTCTTAAATTGGCTATTGATCTGGGCTACTGAAAAAATTAAACCGTGTTCCTGCTGACTGGTAACATTGTACAACCAGGTAACTCGCACTGCTGAGAGCCAGAGTCTCAGATTTTAAATAGAAGTGTCAACCAGTCTGTAGTATAGACACTTATCCAGCATGGATGAACATAAATATAAATCATGATTTGTGTACGAAAATTGTAATCCAAGGATGAATATTAACCCATTAGAGACTAGCGCATCAATGGGGTAAACAGTTATTCTTCTTAACAGGGTGTTGAAGGCTGTTCGGTAATGACAGGTTGCCTCAAGGTTCTCTCCCAACAATATCCAAGGGTAAGCTTTAATGCATTTGTGGTTTCTCCTTCATCTACAACAATAGAAAGCAATGATTTATATGTTGTAACTTGTTCTTTCTTTAGGTCAAATTTTGCCAAGTACTCGCATCAGAAACTGGGATTAGTAAATATTTTGTAAGTATATAATCTACATCCGAACCAAAGGGACAGGACAAAGTGTCCATTTTATAGGGGTGTCCATATTACAGAGATATCATTATTGAATTTATTGGAGTGATATCTGTATTAATTAGAGAGATGTCCATATGCATTAGAGAGATGTCCGTATCAGAAAGATGTCTGAATTAGAGATGTGTTCGTATTAGACAGATGTTTGTATTATTGGGGTGTCTGTATTAGAGAGATGTCCTTATTGGAATGAAGTCTGTATTAGAGATATGTTCTTAGTAGATAGATGTCTGTTTTAGAGAGTTGTTCATATCGTAGAGATGTCAAATTAGGAAGATGTCTGTATTAGAGAATCGAAGTGTCCTTGTTAAAGAGATGTCCATATTAGAGAGGTGTCCATATTAGAGAGGTGTCCATATTAGAGAGGTGTCCATATTAGCGAGGTGTCCGTATTAGAGAGGTGTCCTTATTAGAGAGATGTCTGTATTAGAGAGGTGTCCGTATTAGAGAGGTGTCCATATTAGAGAGGTGTCCATATTAGAGAGGTGTCCATATTAGAGAGGTGTCCATATTAGCGAGGTGTCCGTATTAGAGAGGTGTCCTTATTAGAGAGATGTCTGTATTAGAGAGGTGTCCGTATTAGAGAGGTGTCCTTATTAGAGAGGTGTCCATCCACCTATACCCTATCTAATCAGATCATATCTTAATCAGATCACAGACGGGAGTGCCACCTATACCCTATCTTAATCAGATCATTTAATCAGATCACCACCTATACCTCTTAATCAGATCACAGACGGGAGTGCCACCTTTACCTATCTTAATCAGATTTAATCACAGACGGGATGCACCTTACCCCCC